GGCATGGTCGGGTTGGGCCCTGTGCCTGGCGGTTGGGCACGGTGAGTCTTGGGCTGGCGCTGAGCTGAGCGGTTGAGTCACGCTGCCGCCCGGAGCGGTGCCAGGCAGGGCTGCTCAGTGGGGTCTGAATGTCCAGGCCACCGCAGGGCCACCGGGGGAAGCAGAGACCTGACAAGAGAGGTATATGGTAGGGCTGTGCCACAGCAGGGGGTGGCAGGAGGGGTGCATGTGATGGCACCCTCCCCATGTGCCTCCAGCACAGGGGATGTGTCCCCTGCCCCGGGCATCCTTGGCACCCATGGGCACAGAGGGGAGCGGGTGACTGTGTGTCCCTCTCTAGCTGTCCCTGTCCCCGGCCGGCTGCCGGGCCCCAGGGAACGAGGCGAGCAGTCTCGGGGAGCACAGGCACCCCCCACCCTCCCCAGCCCACACACCCACTCGCGCCAGCAGCTCTTGGGCTGGCTGCAGGCCCTGGGGGTAACACCACAAGGGCACCTTTGCCCCAAACAAGCTCTTGGCCCCAAACTGGTAGCAACGAGAGCTGCTGTCCCAGGGATGGGGGCATATCATTTCCCCCCACCCCCGCCAACGCTGCTGTCTGGCTGCCTGAGGCCTGCAAGTGCTGCCCTTCCGTCCCCCCTTCCCCAAATCCTGGGTGCCCCGAAGCCGCAGGAGCCAGGAGAGCCCGTGCGTTGCCTGGGCAACTGCAGCCAGGCACTGATGGGGAGCGGTCCAGGGGAGCAGTTGCCATGGAGAGCGGAGGAGCGCGATCGCCTTGGCAACAGTCCTGTTCCCCCCCCTTCAGGGCTGTATCCTGAGGAGGTGCACCCCAGCCAGGGGTCCCCTACCCACCACCCACTGGTGAGTGTGCACCCGGGTGAGCTACTGGGGTGGGGAGGGAGGTGGTGGAGCTTGGCAGCACCCGCTGGGGGAGAGCCTCAGGGACCGGGGGGTGTGTGTGTGTCCCCAACTTCACGGCGCAAAGGAAGAGGCAAGGCTGAGCTCAGCTCCTTAGCTTTATCACTCCACACACCACCACAAGCTGCTCCTGCACCTAGTCCTGGCTGGGAGGTGGGCACAGTGGGGACCAGAGGCATGGATCACCCAGGGTGCCCCAGGGTTGTCCTCCTGCTCCAGGAGGAGAGCGGGGACCCTGCAGAGAGGGAGGGAAGGACGTTGTCCCCCTCCCCGGGTGGCAGAGCAGCTGGCAAAGGGGTAAACTTCATTGCTGCCAGCCCCTGGGTGCCCCTGCACAGTCTGGGCAGTGGCTGTTGGCACACGGATTGAGGGGGGTGATGGACAATGGTAGCACCAAGGTGTGTGACTATGGTAGCTCGGGGGGGGGTCTCTGTCACCGCACTCTGGTGGCTGTGTCCCACCAGCCTTGATCTTGTCCCTTCCATCCTCTCCACGGACAAAGCCACACACTGAAGAAGCCAAACAAGCAAAAAGTCCTGCGTGGCTTTTGAGGGGGGTGAGGGCTGGGAAAGGGGCACGGGTCAAACAGCAACTTGCCAGAGTGGGGCCAGGGACTCGGCTCTGGCACTGAGAACGCTTCGCCTTCATGTTTAGAGCCGCCGGGGGGTGTCCCTCTGGTAGACAAAGGGAGGATGAGGAGGCTATAAGACATGGGGGCACCCATGACCCTTCCCTCCCAACAGGAATCACTAAGCTGCACACGAGGGGACAGCTGAGATTTCTGCAGGCTCTGGGCTTGGCTTGGTTCATGCTGCCACTCCCCGGGCCTCCCCT